GACTTGTATCCATAAACAGCTGTCCACTTAAGCTCATAAGCACAACACATATTGTTGCACGTCTGCCGTCGTTGCAGCAGGTCGCCGCTTGAGTACCTGCAACCGCAAAATAAATCTCTTACACTGCGCCGCCTTTGGGAAAACTTTCAGTATCAGTGCCCCCCCAAAAAAGGCCCACGCCCAACTGATCCAACTGTTCTGTTTGCGTTCATGTTTGTAAACATCTCTGCCAGGTGGCCAGGGGGTCTGAGGATAAAGCCAGATATGATTTTTCTCGTATAACACACACACACACACACACACAGATTGAGAAACAGAAGCATACACATAACAATTCAAAGAAATGGGCAGTGATTGTAGATATTCTTCAAATTTATGGTTATGGGCTTTGTGCATTTAATTTTATAGGACAGATTGGAGAGACAGGGAAATAGAATGGGATTGAGACATAACGCGGGCTGGATTCCAGATATCCTGATTTACAGCATTGCAATTCCATGTTTATTCCATGCGATGTGAAGGAAGTATGTTCCATATGGAGTCTGGAATATATGTGTTGACTTTCAGCTGTTTTTGTGACTTTTGCTAGAGCCAGTGTTCAAACAAGTGAACAGATGACTAAATGAATAAATTAAAGTGTATGGCAGAGAGAGTCTACATTAGTCTCTGCCGTTTTCCTAGAGGCTGATTACCCATAAGACTGATTTTATTCTAAACCATTTAAACACACACACACACACACTCAAACTCTTTTGAAACCAAACTTAGTTATGAAAGAATGTTACATATCTATCCTGTTTTTGCATATCAGAGTGACCCCTAACACAAAGTAACTGCAGATAATTAGTAATTAGTACATAATTTAGCTGTAAGATATGTTCAGATCTTTCTTTTATTCAAGGATGCACTAATTTGATCAAGAGTCAAGACATTTCTGTTACAAAAGATTTACATTTCAAATAAATGCTGTTCTTTTGATTTAAAACAATGTCACTGTAACACATTAAAATAGAAAAGTTATTTTAAATTGTAATATTTCATAATTTTAATGTTTTTACTATATTTTTGATCAAATAGATCAAAACTTCTTAGAAAACAAACGCTTACAGATCATAAACTTTTGAATGATGGTATATTAAAATATATATACAAAATATATTTTTTTATATATTTATATATGCAACTCTTTAAAAAAAAAATCTTGATCTGAATTGATAATATCTACTTAATTTTCCACAGTAAAAAGTGTTTGGGATTGACATGAGAGTAGGTAGATGATGGCAATTTTACTACAGAATTTTATTTGTTACTTGTTAAAAATACAAATATTTCTGGGCTCAAATATCTGAGGGGCCACGTTTAAATGCGCATGACGCTTCTGTCTGTTAGCTGGAACAAACAGGAGCTTTAAAAGGGATTCGCTCCAGGGTCTGAAAGTGGAATGACCTGAAGTCTCCCTATTGCTGGATGTTTGTCTTGGTTCCGAGCGGGTGCGCAGACTATGCCTGCCGCTGCCATCCTCAGTCCAAAGCCACAGATGCTGCAGTGTTTGTGTGTTGACTCCGTGTAATTTGTTTGCACTAATTTGTTTTGGGGTATCAGGGGAGTTCCCTTTTTAATTTGCCTCTCTCTGTTTACCCCTCTTTGTGGAGCACTGATCTGTTAAGCAGCAGTAAGAGCGAGAAAGAGAGAGGAAGAGAGAGAGAGATGGGGTGTAGAAGAGCCTAAATTAAAAGAAGGTACTATGCAGATTGTTTTAAGCTCTGGCTGCCCCGTCGGGCCCAAAGGCCTTGCTCGCAGCCTGCACCTGCTCCATCCCGCGGGAACCTGGTTCCTGATCCGTGGCCCCTCTCCCTCTCCTGTTTCTCTTCTCGTCTCTCTATCTCCCTCTCTCTCCCCTGCTGTTTCCTCTGCACGTCTCCAGTGCCTGGAAACGCCTTAATCAGCCCTCCTCTGCGCATGGATGGCTGCCACTCATTAGCCTGATTGAAAAGATGGTAGCTCATGCTAAACACACACGCATACACATATGCATACACAGGTTGGAAAACATTCACATTCACATTGACTTTTTGAATATTAAATCCTATATTTAAGCAATATCATGCGAGCAAGAGCATTGTTGTTCTGAATATCAGCACAAAAGATGAAACAAAAGTTTAACAAACGAGACCAAGTAACTTACATTTTAGACACAATATTGCCAGGTCTATTTTTGCTTCACCAATGAAAATACTGTTGTCAACGTAATGTTCAGTAGTATGTTTTGTTTGTGAACGAAGCAAGGTTTCAAACCAATCAGTACAGTGAATGAATCAGTGACTCACTCATAAAAACAAGTCGCCGGTTTTGTTCCTGAATGAATCAGTGTTTTGAACAAATTGGTACAATACTCATAAAAACAGTGGCTGCATCTGAAATACTTCCCTACCATATAATAGGTGAAAAACAGAATGTGAATAGAGAAGTAAATTCACAGTATTCATAAGCAAAAGTTATGATGACCTCTGGTGGAAATGCCTACGCAGAGAGTATGTGATAGTCACATTGCTTCATACCTGAATAAATCAGTGTTTTGAACTAATCGGTACAGTTAATGATTCACTCATTAAAAACAGTCACTTGTTTAGTTTCTAAATGAATCTGTGTTGTGAACAAAGTTGTACAGTGAATGATTCAACTACTCACATACTACTCACTCATAAAAACTGTCACTTGCTTCATTCCTGCATAAATCAGTGTTTTGAACTAATCGGCTGAAGTAAATTTCAATGTGAATTAAACTAATGCACAGATGGACAGTCTGTCGGGAACCCACCAACAGAGACAAACAGAGTGACACAAAAAGTAAAAAGAGAGCACTACTCGATCAATCAAATTTGAGGGCCAGAACTGGTGCATAATACCTAATAAAAGCAGAAGTGGAAAACAAAATCATTGAACTAAATTTATACCAAACTAACAAATAACATAACAACTGAGGTAATTCTTGCTCAACTGGTTTGAAAGAAAAAAAAATATTCCTCATACATACATTTAAATTGCCACAGCTATTTTAATTGATGTTTTGGAGCAACCATTGTCAAACAACCACTCAGTTCAGGATAACTAAGCACTCACGAGAGAGTCTCAGTTGTGCACAGTATTTTATAGCTGATTCAGATTAGGTAGAATCTTATATATAACCATCATTTTGTTTCCACAAACAGGAAAATGACTCTCTAATATGGCTTCAAGATCTACTATCAGATCTATAGCAAAACTGACATCTTATGAGAACATAATCCAGCTATATTCCCAACACAGAGACACATCTCTAAAAGTCTATAATAAACATATGTACATCACAGGGTAAAATTTAAATGCATTGCTTAATGCATGTATTTGAATGTGAATTTTGCTGCAACTGTTATTTACACCGAACAAAACTATAAACGCAACACTTTTGTTTTTGCCCCCATATATTAACACAAAATTTAAATGAGACTTAACTTTAACCTCGATTCTATACAGGGAATAAATATTTGATAGAAATTTTCCACTGGTGAACTTTACACCAGCTTACACATATAGACACACACACAAACACATGCAGGTAAATGATGTATTATAGATAACTACTGTATATCATACACACTCACATATAGCATATCTCACTGATTGTATGGACCCTGCTTTATGTCCTCTAGATCAGTGTTTCCCAACCTTTTTTTAGTCGCGGCACCCTTTGGAAATTTTAACAAACTTGTGGCACCCTACAAAATAAATTTTGTCACAATATTTGAATTTCTAACTTCAATATGATAATTTGAAAAGTATAGATATTCGGTACAACAGGGAAGAACTGCAGAATATAATGTCATACAGATATTTTTAATATTAAAAATTGTCCATCAATGGTGGCAATCAGTAGGCTAATTTCTAATGAAGAGACCAATTTATATGACAGATTTTAATGTAGGCTTTTATTAATTTTCGGCAGTCGAAATTTCGGTGCATCTCTAATTATTGGCGACATCAGACATGGATATTATATAATAGATGCTTTTTTGAACATTTTAGCAATTTAAAAATATTTTAAAAAGATTTTTTACACAGCACCCCTGCTCTCGACAGACGGCACCCCGGTTGGGAAACACTGCTTCTAGATGTCCTCTATGTTTCAATCCATATCTTTACATTGTCCAAAGTCTTTCAATAATCTAAAATGTGCAAAACAACAATATGGAAAGAAAACAATAGAATTCTTCGTAACAGATTAAACATTATAGAGATTTAAATAAATTCATTTAGTACAGGCTTGGGTTTCAAGTAAATTCAACAGAAAGAGGGTAAACTCATCATGCTGCAATTGATCACAGCAATTTTCCCTCAACTAAGGCAAATCTGCTCAAGTATGCTCGAACTACACTTTGGTACACAAATCACACACATGGATAAAGAAAAATGTATAATCAGACTCCTAAGCCTTAAAGTTGACCGTTTAGTGTTCACTAGAGGTTCACTGTTGTTATTAATATTTTGGTACACAAATCACACACATGGATAAAGAAAAAATTATAATCAGACTCCTAAGCCTTAAAGTTGACCGTTTAGTGTTCACTAGAGGTTCACTGTTATTAATATTTAAAACGTTCTTTTAAGGCAGAAGCTTGAAGCGAGGGAAGCTCGCAACGCCAATACAAGTGGCTGCATAGGACCCACTCAACATGTGAATGGTCACAGTGCCCTCTGGTGGTGACACGCAAACAGGTCTGTATTACAGAATCGAACAGAAAGAGACACACAGGGATGAAGAGGAAAGGCTGTCACACATGCACAAATGGTTGCAGTCAGGCACACAGGCAGTAAGCACCATTCAGACTGATCAAGAGTCTGACACTGATGACACACACTGGAGCCCTAACAAATAAAACTGACAGAAAGGGATTCAGTTCTATTGTATTAGCCTTAATATTTGTGAGGACTGGATTCTCATTTTGTTATTTTTTGTTATTAAATGCTTCATAAATCCTTTTATCCATCTTCATTTCTATTTTATGTACTTGAGCTGATCTGGGAGCGGGAATTATTAGGTTTCAACAGGAGGGAGGAATTCACACAGATTTACTTTCAGGTTGCACAAAGGAAATCAGTCTGTCAAAAAAAGGTATATTGTCAACTTCGCACAAACATCCTAGAATCATGCAAGCTAGTGTTTTGCTACATGATTGTGTTCCGGAGCAAATGTTTGATTAAAGTTTGAGAGAAGATAGACGTATTGATTGGACTGAAAAATCACGAAATGTTTGTTTCCTTGAAATGAAAGCTAATTAGAAATCATACTAAAACCGTGGACATATAAACAGTTCTGAGAGGGATGAAGGCAGAATGAATGATCTTTTACATGCGTCCAACTTCTGTGGTGTAAATCTTAAGGTGCACATGTCCATGACTGACGTCACGTTGTGTACACGCATTTTGTTTTTAATTCAGGTTCATCAAAGTGCGATTCATACAGGTCAGACATATCAATATGAGTTTTGGAGCCACTACACATCGCAAAATGCTCTGTTACACCAGATAAAAAGCAACCTCTATTAGATTTCACCCTTGACCTGCTGCTCCACATCCGAGCCATCTGCTTCAATGTCAGAGTCTGAGAGCGAGCGTCCAGAGTGGTCTGAGTCTTGCGAGTGTGTATTACTGTGTGACGGGAGGCTTAGATCGCTATCCTCTAAAGTGTCTGTCCTGGAAAAGAGACCAAGGTCCAGCATGCAGGTGGGCGTCCCGCTGCTGGTGTCATTGTCGCTGTCGTAACAGAAGTCCTCTAAGTCCACAAACCACTCGGGCCAGAACTTCTTCCGTATGCGCTCACAGTACATGGCGAGGTTGATCAGTTCTCCTGTGGACAGACATAGTTGTTCATCGTGCAGCTTGAAACCTGTCAAACATGGTCTGCTGAATGGCTGATTTTTGTTCCATTGCGTCTCCACTCCAGAATACAGCAACATATTTCTGTAGAGTGTAATAAAGCCCATCCACTTTTTCAAGAGGCTTAGCTCCTGAAGTATTTTTCCCATTCATTTTACCCAAAGGGATTTTTAAAAAGTGTTTGTTTAAACGTTATAGGCAATGAACCAAACCAACCAGCTACAAGGGTAATTCACAACTTTAGAAACATAGATTTGAATTTTTTTTTTTTGAAAATTGAAAACTGAAAATTGCCAAAAACTACAAGTCTTTCACATATTTTAAGTTTTTTGCTAAATATATGCATATATTTACAAATATATAAAAATTCTGAGTGGAAGACTGACTATCGAAGTGCATCATTGGGACTCTTAAGGTGCAATTTTGTTCTCAGTGATTTTCTGACTTGTGGAGATTTCTTTGCTGAATCATGGGTAATGTAGTTTTCATTAAAAATCTGATAAAATGGATAAAATGAATGTAATTTTTTTTACTTCCGGAACCAGACTGACGCTCTCTATTCTGCTGAGGTGGTTTGACATTCTATGTGTGACTGAACTTTTATGTGCAAAACCATAAATAAATGCCTGTAATGCCATCTAGTGGACATTTAACAAACTGCCATGCCATTGCACAAAATTAAAAGGAATAGTTCATCCAAAATGAAAATTCGGATCCAAACCCATTTCATTTTCTTTCTTCTTGGAACGCAAAAGGAGATGTTAGGCAGAATGTTCACATTGCACTTTCTGAATGGCATTGTGTGCTGTCAGGCTCCAAAAATGCTAGAAACCACCCTAAAGTACCGTAAAAGAAATCCATATGACTTGTGAACTATATTTCAAGTCTTCTAAAACTATGTGAACATTATTCAGTGAAAATTAGTTTTTTGTTCTTTTTTGAGTACCAATCCGTCAGTATTGTACAGAGTAGAACCTTTTGTGTTTGATGGAAGAAATAGTTATACAGGTTTGGAACAAAAATGATAACAGAATTTTCGTTTTTGGGTGAACTATCCCTTTAAATACAACAACAACAAACATTAAGACATGCATTAATCTCTCCAAATATTTCCAATTATTTTAATCGCCCTATTAGGACTACAAAACTGCAGTTGTGAGGTCTTGCTCACCTTTAATGAGCTGCTCGGGCCGTGTGCCAGGTAGTGTCCACATGGCTTGTGCAAGGTGACCGAACACTGTGGCATCCACACTGGACAGCTTGGGACCCATGATGTACTTCTTATCCCCTGACGGTGCAGAAAATAAACATTAAAGGAATAGTTCATTTCCAAAATAAAAATTTCCCGATAGTTGACTATTTTGCCATCCAAGATATTCATGTCTTTCTTTCTTCAGTTGAAAAGAAATCAAGGTTTTGAGGAAAACATTCCATATGGAGAAAAATCCTGGAATGTTTTCCTCAAAAACCTTAATTTCTTTTAGACTGAAGATAGAAAGACATGAACATCTTGGATGACATGGGGGTGAGAAAATGATCAGGAAATTTTTATTCTGGAAGTGAACTAATCCTTTAACCCCCAGCCATAATTTAGGACAAATAACAGACTTCCTTGAAATTTGTCTCAGAAACACACTGAAAATATTTAGATTTTCAGTTTATTCAATTACCAGATGGATAACATGAAAAAAGCCCCCCCCCCCCTCTATAATGCCATGTGGTGACAATTATATAAAACATTTCTTGCACTAAGGCAACAAAAGTGAATATTTTAGGAACAAAATCACAATGTGTGTTCACATTTTGTGAAAGGTTCACTGAGACTGCTGAATCTTCAGCTGCCATAACTCCAGTCTTCAGTGTCACATGATCCTTCAGAAATCATTCTATGCTGATTTGGTACTCAAGAAACATTTTTTACTATTCTAAAAATGTTTCGGATTCTTTCATTAATATAAATTATTTGAAATGGATAGAAATTTGACATGGATTTTTTTTGTAACAATGTAAAAGTCTTTACTGTCAACTTTTGATCAATTTAATGCATACTTACTGAATAAAAGTATTTTATTCAATGTAGTATATTATTTTTTTAATAATATAAAACCAACATTTTTAACAAATGTGTATATGGCAGACTTCAGTTATCATGATACACAAAAATCTATTATATTATTATATATAATATTATATACAATATACAGTGGGTACGGAAAGTATTCAGACCCCCTTAAATTTTTCACTCTTTGTTATATTGCAGCCATTTGCTAAAATCATTTAAGTTAATTTTTTTTCCTCATTAATGTACATATGGGGTGCTGTGTGTACATTAATGAGGAAAAAAAATTAACTTAAATGATTTTAGCAAATGGCTGCAATATAACAAAGAGTGAAAAATTTAAGGGGGTCTGAATACTTTCCGTACCCACTGTAAAACTTAAATATTATAAAAACATCACAAAACATGTTGCTGTCAAAGTATAATTTGAAACCTTTATTTCTTGTCCTCCTCACCTAGCAGTGTGGCTAGTGTGCGCATGTCCTTCTCCATGAGGCTGTAAACTTCTTCCTTAGTAAAGCAGCCAATGCCGTGACAGTACATCTCCCTCTTTACAATGCCACCAGTCAGCTGACACAGGATCCATTTCAGCAGGTCACTGAGGGGCCCAGGAAGGTCCAGCATCCTTTGAGTCTCTTGAACATTATCCACCCACTGACAGTATGCGATGGTCCTGTTGTGACAAGAAAGATATAAATAAATTAGGTGATGATTAATTTCCTAAAGTACAGTATAAAGAGCCATATTTGTGTGGGGAAAAGTCATAAAAAGTCACTTTTAAAGACAACACATCAATAATATTAATAATAATAATTATTATTATTATCATTATTATTGTTTGGCTTTTATATTGTCACTTTTCTCAAGCAAGCAATGTTGCAAGGAGAAATGAGAGGAACAATTCCCAAAATGCAGATGCACAATTTTATTGATTCTTTAGAAAGCAGATATATTAAGTGCCTAACAACACCCATAAAATATATCAGAACTTTACTGTGCTGTAATATTTATGCATGTACTGCATATTTAACTTGCATAATACATTTATTTTGCAGCTGCTTTTATCAAAAACAACTTAAAATTAGGAAATCTTAAACAAATAGTTGATCATCAACACAAGCAATTCATCATAATATGGACTTGTTTATAATTCAGAGTTTATTACAACTGTGTGCAGCTTTAGTATCACACAGAAAACAAGCTCAATTTGGCCTCTGAGATTAAACTTTGAATTAATTCTCTGCTCTGTAATTATCTGAATCAAATTAATTAAAGCCGTCTTCTAATTAACTTCTTTGCACAGTAGGCAATGCATTAATAAAAACCATTCATCTAAAATGGCTTCAAGCGCTCTCTGGGTTCATGGCTTTGAACTCACCACTTGGAATTTACAATCAGCCTTTCATCAAGTTTAAATCAGATTCAAAGCTGCAGTGTGTAAATTCTGCGCCAAAAATAACTACTGAATTCAAACACTGCATTGACCACCATGGCATTTTAATTTGTAAGGACATAATACATGTATTCCATGAAACAGTATTGTAGGCTACACGCTTTATTTACATTTCTGCCAACATTTCTGAGTCTTAATCTGATATTACTAGGTCTTTTTACTGAAATGGGTCAAGTAAGTTAGGAGTTTCATTTCCTGATCAAAACCCACCAGTGTCATAATCCAGATTTCCTGCCTATTTCCCAGCACGACATCCATCACTCTTATTTATAGCTCAATGAATGTTCTTGCTCAGCAAGCTCTTCAGCTGACATAAACAACACTACTCTGGAGTGGACACAGATATTCAAACCCATGAATTATTCAATCAATAGCCATGTGGGATGCTATATATATATATATATACAGTGGGTACGGAAAGTATTCAGACCCCCTTAAATTACCCACTGTATATAGCACAGTGTAAAGCACTTCTAGGCAATGTGAAGACAGAATGCACGAGAAAAAAAAAAATTTTGATTTCATTTGAAGGAATATAATAATGCAAAATGAATGAAGATGAGGAAATTAGGTTGAGACTGGTTATACAATTGCTTTTTTCCCCAGAGTAATGCTTACACTATGATACCCAATGTTTCAGCAGGAGTCATTAATTTTATAAATCTGCTGCCTGCACTGCAAATCATGTCAGCAGTCCACTCCAAGCTTGTCATGCATATTTTTATTTGAATGGTTTATGATTATGGACTCATACAACTTTTCATTCACGTTTATTATGCAAATAAATTGGTTGCATGGCTATATTTCAAGATAAATTTAAATCTTAAAGAATAATTTGGAATAAAACGTTTTACATATTTCTCATAAAAAGAGACCCAGTATTTCACGTATAGTTAAAAGCAGTCATGTGTATGGCAGCTTTGTACTGCTGGACAGGATGCACGGAAGTACAAAATAGGTCTAAAATTCAGACAAATAAATCATTACTATTGAATAAAAGACATGGTATATTCATAATTTGGGAGTTAAAAAATACTATATTTAATGTATGCATGTATATATTTATTTATTTGTTTGTTGATCAATGTGATGATCAATCTTGATTTTTGTATATTTAGGCCTTTGCTTCAAAACATTAAGAAACTGTTCACACAGAAATGTTGAAATTCTGTGAATGGATGGCTTCAGTTCAAACATCTGATAAAAACATCACAATAATCCATAAGTAATCCACGTGATTCCAGTCCATCAATTAGCATCTTGTAATAGTAATTAGTTCTTGCAAGGAATTTTAACTTAAAGTAATTACTTTTGTCCAAAATACGAGTCCATAATCCATAATAACACTTCCTCCAGTGAAAATGTCCAACCCCTGTTGTCCTCTCACATCAAAATCCACCAACATATTTTTCTGGACTGTTTTCACTTATAAACGGTGCTTTATCTGTGCATATTTCTCTCCTGATTCAGATGAGACGACTTTTCACTGGAGAAAGCAATATTAGAAAGCAATACGGTTTGAAGTTAAAAATCTCTTAATGATGAGTTTGTTTAGCACGAACACACAACTTTTCGCTTCACAATGGACTGGAGTCATGTGAAGTCGTGTGAATTATTGTGATGCTTTTATCAGCTGTTTGGTCTCTTATCCTGACGGCACCCATTCACTGCAGCTTCTACAAATGTGTTATGATAAAGAAACAAACTCATCTACATCTTGGACGGCCTGAGAGTGTGCACATTTTTGAGTGAACTATTCCCTTAAGGTTTTAAAAACTCCAAAACCAAATTTAAAAACTGCAGAACTCTACTGACTCCAGTAGCTGCATATTTGATCCTCACATTTCAGCGATGGCTCAGCAGCAGAAGAGTGACTCATTCAGAATGCCAGCACATGACTCACCAGTACAAGTGTTCCTCCACCATGGTGGTGATGGCCCGCGCTACTGCCTGCTCCTGAGCGCTCAGACTCTTGTTCAGGCTCACACCAAGTTTCTCCTCCAGAAAGTCAATTATAAATTCATTTCCGCACACCTGCTCGTAATTATACTCAACCCAAGGCATCTTGCCCTGGGAGGAGAGGCTTCCATCAAAGTAATTCTGTAAAAAAGGAAGCATATTGAGGGTGAAAAATGTATTTTAGCAATTTATGATCATAATAATAACAATATGTATTATTATTGTTGTTAATAAGTATTATTATTATTGATTAAAAAAATCTAGAGCACCTAGATGTGAACTGAAAAAACGTAATCCTATTTTCTAAGGGCTTTCATGAATTTCATTGGCATTTCAACAGCACGTAACCACTGATCAAAGGAAATGGACTCCAAGATCCAAACTGCTTCTTTATGCATACTTGATAGGGCAGATCAACCATGCGCAGATAGGTCTCCATTTTCAGGCAGAAAGGTGATAGGCTTGGAACCCCGTTTTTTGGCCTGGAGAACTGGTGAAGGATGATGGCATCTTTAGAATCCAACTGTTGCTCTTTCCTGTGAGGAGATCAACAATAGATTGTAAAATCAGACGATCTGTTTGAGATTTCAATATGAACAGATCTATAATAGGTCACTCAAAACAATGATGGTTAAACATCACAGTCAGACATATGGAACAAAACTTTTGCATTTATTTGGCATGCATTTTTTATCTAAAAAAACAGTTTATTTATGGTTTGCATTTTGTCAGCATATTTGTTCTTTGGGAGAATCCATCACCCTGGCATTGCAATGCATCTGATCATGCTTAACCAGCTGAAGTACAGAAAGATTTTACAGGAACATAACTTAGCTTTAAAAGCTGCTATTTAGCTTTTTACCCCAAAATCATGTGGAGTGCAGGGTAAAAGGCATTATACTATAATTATGAGGAAACTGCAGGATGTGTGTGGGAGGACAAAGGCAGGTCTTATTTCACAAGCATCAACTACAAGTCCAGGCTTGAGCTTTCAAAACAACACAACCCAGTCCTGTTCTGATCACACACAATTTCAGAAACAAGAGGCTCCAAACTTCCCATTCTTCAAACTAAATACGTATTCTAAAAAATATGATTTGTATAACCAAACTATCTGTATCGGGTGGGCTGTTAAATGTGTTTCTGAATCAGGGTGTTTTGTGGGGGAGGGAAAAAAATTATTTCGATTTGCTGAAATCCCTTCATATAGATCAGAAAGATTAGCACAGATTCCGAGGTGAAATAGGACAAATCCATCCACATTTAGCCATCATTAATAAAAAGCAATCATGATTTGTTCTCTCAAAGCCCCAATAACAAATACAGATATCCAAATAATAACACAGTTTAAGTGTTTAGTAGACACTGTCAGGGCAAACGTGTTTAATATGATATACAATAATAGAAATTTAGGTATCACTTAACTTACAGCCTTTATGTATAATGCATTATATAATAAAGGAATATATGTTTTTTTTTTGCAAACGTGTTATACAATAATAGAAATTTAGGTATCACTTAACTTACAGCCTTTATGTATAATGCATTATATGCATTATATAAGTGCATTAATTATGCCTTGTAATGCACATTATATGCATTGTACAATCTCATGAATAATTGTAAACACAGTTAATACATTATAACACTTATCAATTCATTGTTACACTTTAAATTCAGTTGCAATTATTTACGACAAGATATAATGTATTACAACGCACATTATGAATAATTATAATGCATTTTACTTAATATCTTAATCATTTTTGGCATAAAATAAAAATCAATAATTTTGACCCATACAATGTATTTTTGGCTATTGCTACAAATATACCCCAGCGACTTAAGACTGGTTTTGTGGTGCAGGATCACATATATGAAAGAAGCCATGGACAGTGGTGAAATGTACAGTTTAGTAGTCAGTATATATAAATATTTGGCCGCTCAATGCTGGTATTGACCAGAATCAGAATCCAGTCCACCAGAGAGCCATTTAAGACCAAACACTACAGACAAATCCATTGTTCATTCAGGCTCTGCTCAGTTTTGAGATGTTGTCTTCTTTCAGTCTAGTGGAAAGAAAATATCCAAAATGTACATTCATTTGTTATGTCATTACACTTTATCTATTTGTGTCTGTGGATTTCAGTTACAATACTTATCTTTAAAGGCTATTTTCTCAAAATGAGTTTTTTTCTCATGCAATGAGCCTGAAATCTAGACTTCAGTAGGACTTACATACACAAAACTTGACAGTTTTGTTCCTGTCTATATTCTGAAGGTTTTTACTGAAGGGTTTGCACATATAACATTCACATAATTTAACATTAATTTAACATTTCAGGCTGTATTTTCTAATTTATGGAGCAATAAAAAGAGAGATCCCCTCAGTAAAAGCCTTTAACTCTAATATGTAAAAAAAAAATTGGACCAGGCTTTATGCAATGTTCAGTTTATTATTCTGGAAATATATGCAAATGAGTGCATATTTAATTAGATAATGCAACGTTTGCATATGTGAACATAATGTTACAGAAAACTTAAAGGCTTCATTTGGCCAAAAAATTTAAATTGTCATCATTTCCTTACATCAAGTTGTTCCAAACCTGTATGAGTGTTTGAGCACAGAAAAATATATTTTGAAGAGTGTAGGTAACCAAACAGTTGATGGTAGCCATTGTATTTTTGCATACTGTGGCTACTGTAAACCATAAACTGTTTGGTTACCAACATTCTTCAAAATATCTTCTTTTGTGCACAACAGAAGAAAGAAACTCATACAGGTTTGGAACAACTTGATGTAAGGAAATGATGACAATTTAAATTTTTTGGCCAAATGAAGCCTTTAAGTTTTCTGTAACATTATGTTCACATATGCAAACGTTGCATTATCTAATTAAATATGCACTCATTTGCATATATTTCCAGAATAATAAACTGAACATTGCATAAAGCCTGGTCCAATTTTTTTTTTACATATTAGAGTTAAAGGCTTTTACTGAGGGGATCTCTCTTTTAATCGCTCCATAAATCACAAAATACCGCCAGAAAAAAACCACCATATTTAGAGGTTACAGTGGGTACGGAAAGTATTCAGACCCCCTTAAATTTTTCACTCTTTTGTTATATTGCAGCCATTTGCTAAAATCATTTGTTAATTTTTTTTCCTCATTAATGTACACATAGCACCCCATATTGACAGAAAAACACAGATTTGTTGACATTTTTGCAGATTTATTAAAAAAGAAAAACTGAAATATCACATGGTCCTAAGTATTCAGACCCTTTGCTGTGACACTCATATATTTAACTCAGGTGCTGTCCATTTCTTCTGATCATCCTTGAGATGGTTCTACACCTTCATTTGAGTCCAGCTGTGTTTGATTATACTGATTGGACTTGATTAGGAAAGCCACACACCTGTCTATATAAGACCTTACAGCTCACAGTGCATGTCAGAGCAAATGAGAATCATGAGGTCAAAGGAATTGCCTGAAGAGCTCAGAGACAGAATTGTGGCAAGGCACAGATCTGGCCAAGGTTACAGAAAAATTTCTGCTGCACTTAAGGTTCCTAAGAGCACAGTGGCCTCCATAATCCTTAAATGGAAGACGTTTGGGATGACCAGAACCCTTCCTAGAGCTGGCCGTCTGGCCAAACTGAGCTATCGGGGGAGAAGAGCCTTGGTGAGAGAGGTAAAGAAGAACCCAAAGATCACTGTGGCTGAGCTCCAGAGATGCAGTCGGGAGATGGGAGAAAGTTGTAGAAAGTCAACCATCACTGCAGCCCTCCACCAGTTGGGGCTTTATGGCAGAGTGGCCCGACGGAAGCCTCTCCTCAGTTCAAGACACATGAAAGCCCGCATGGAGTTTGCTAAAAAAACACCTGAAGGACTCCAAGATGGTGAGAAATAAGATTCTCTGGTCTGATGAGACCAAGATAGAACTTTTTGGCCTTAATTCTAAGCGGTGTGTGTGGAGAAAACCAGGCACTGCTCATCACCTGTCCCAACAGTGAAGCATGGTGGTGGCAGCATCATGCTGTGGGGGTGTTTTTCAGCTGCAGGGACAGGACGACTGGTTGCAATCGAGGGAAAGATGAATGCGGCCAAGTACAGGGATATCCTGGGCGAAAACCTTCTCCAGAGTGCTCAGGACCTCAGACTGGAACTAAGGTTTACCTTCCAACAAGACAATGACCCTAAGCACACAGCTAAAATAATGAAGGAGTGGCTTCACAACAACTCTGTGACTGTTCTTGAATGGCCCGGCCAGAGCCCTGACTTAAACCCAATTGAGCATCTCTGGAGAGACCTAAAAATGGCTGTCCACCAACGTTTACCATCCAACCTGATAGAACTGGAGAGGATCTGCAAGGAGGAATGGCAGAGGATCCCCAAATCCATGTGTGAAAAACTTGTTGCATCTTTCCCAAAGACTCATGGCTGTATTAGATCAAATGGGTGCTTCTACTAAATACTGAGCATTTTTCAGTTTTTCTTTTTTAATAAATCTGCAAAGATGTCAACAATTCTGTGTTTTTCTGTCAATATGGGGTGCTGTGTGTACATTAATGAGGAAAAAAAATTAACTTAAATGATTTTAGCAAATGGCTGCAATATAACAAAGAGTGAAAAATTTAAGGGGGTCTGAATACTTTCCGTACCCACTGTATATTAGGATATATCAGGATACTGTATATTAAAGTTAATTTTGTAAAATCCAAATAAGCTTTACAATCTTTATTAGAAAGTGTTTAAACAATGTTTTTCATGATTGTTTGATGAACCATAAACAATTATTAATATAATTAGTTCATGTTTGATTAATTATGGATATTGTTCATATTAATTATTAATAAATAAAAACTGCAATGTCTGTAATGTAAGAGGCCTAAGGGAGTGCTACAGGAAGACAGGAAGGGTAGCTGACTGTCCTTGTAATGCCAGACCATGTATCACCATATGTACCCCCAGATGTGTTTGAGAACTTGCAAGTGCCTTGATGAAAGAGTGAAGTAACATCTCACAGCAAGATCTGGCAAATCCTTCCAAGTCCATTAAGATGAGTTGCACTGTAGTATTTAAAGCAGCTGGTGGACACCACATAATGACTGCTACTTTTGATATTGACCCTCGCTCTGTTCAGAAACTCATTATTCCATTTCTGTTCATCAAATGTCAGTGAAATTTATTGTAATTTGTTCCGTAATTTGTTCAGTTGTTGAATCTTTTTATGTTCATACAAATATTGTGTGTGTGTGTGTGTGCGTGTGTGTAAAATGTCATGTGTTTTAATCCATAATACTAAAGTATTAAAGTATTATGCATTAAAACACATGACAATCAATTTCTGATGTAACAAGAAATCTTATAAAAATATATTTTAATGCATTACTTACTGCATTATAAATACCTTCATAATGCATTACACAAAGTGTTACCGAAATTTCTAATAGAAACAGAAATTTCCTATAGATTTCTTCCTTTGCATAATGATCACTGGTTACATAACATGACTTCAGAGTATTAGACCTATGGGTCTGTTATTAATCATGACTGTAACATTAGGATTCTCCTGACAAAATTAAGATCACAGGAAGTTTAAATTCTGAATTGTTTTGTGGTATGTAATTCTTAGAGTTAACATACTGCCACAGTTTATCAACCAAGCCAAAACAACAAACTCCAGAACCAATTTTCACAATTAACATAAAAAAGGCCATTCAGATCTATAAGACTCCACTCACCCAGATTTCAGATGCTTCCGTGTGGCTCTAAAATGAACATTCTGACACCCTAACAACGTCTATTTATTTTTAATCTTTATCTAATGGCACACATCTGTGTTTAACAAAGACTTATTGCCATTTTATGGCAAACTAAATAGATAAAAAAAAGTGTAAAGCATCAGTTTGACCCCAAAGCTGCAGAGCTCAATACTCAAACATGACGCTGTCCACGGCGTATGGTGCTGAAATCCACCCAGTGAAGTGTTAAACGAGGATGAGAAAGTCTGCTGCCTGTAAAACGGTCTACAGGTCAAAACAAATACTAAAACGGAAGTTATTTAAGACTTCTAACAGCTTTGCAGCCCCCTTGAATTTTTAGTAGGTTATGGCCTGCAGATGAGCCAAGAAAGGTCGCTCGTTCGACACACTCATGTACATCGCGATCCAGTGAAGTAAACATTCATGATCACGTGCCGCATTTATAAGCCTACATTAAAAACGAATGTATTAAAGTACTTCTGTGCGAATGTAAACAAGGCAAATTCCAGCTGAGTTTTGATGACAGGGCGTTTTCATATGCTCCCGTGCGGCCACACGCCGCATGTGCATGTAATTTAGAAAACGTGACATACAAATATTGTGTGTGTGTGTGTGTGCGTGTGTGTAAAATGTCATGTGTTTTAATCCATAATACTAAAAGTATTAAAGTATTATGCATTAAAACACATGACAATCAATTTCTGATGTAACAAGAAATCTTATAAAAATATATTTTAATGCATTACAACATGCATTATAAATACCTTCATAATGCATTACACAAAGTGTTACCGAAATTTCTAATAGAAACAGAAATTTCCTATAGATTTCTTCCTTTGCATAATGATCACTGGTTACATAACATGACTTCAGAGTATTAGACCTATGGGTCTGTTATTAATCATGACTGTAACATTAGGATTCTCCTGACAAAATTAAGATCACAGGAAGTTTAAATTCTGAATTGTTTTGTGGTATGTAATTCTTAGAGTTAACATACTGCCACAGTTTATCAACCAAGCCAAAACAACAAACTCCAGAACCAATTTTCACAATTAACATAAAAAAGGCCATTCAGATCTATAAGACTCCACTCACCCAGATTTCAGATGCTTCCGTGTCGCTCTAAAATGAACATTCAGACACCCTAACAACGTCTATTTATTTTTAATCTTTATCTAATGGCACACATCTGTGTTTAACAAAGACTTATTGCCATTTTATGGCAAACTAAATAGATAAAAAAAAGTGTAAAGCATCAGTTTGACCCCAAAGCTGCAGAGCTCAATACTCAAACATGACGCTGTCCACGGCGTATGGTGCTGAAATCCACCCAGTGAAGTGTTAAACGAGGATGAGAAAGTCTGCTGCCTGTAAAACGGTCTACAGGTCAAAACAAATACTAAAACGGAAGTTATTTAAGACTTCTAACAGCTTTGCAGCCCCCTTGAATTTTTAGTAGGTTATGGCCTGCAGATGAGCCAAGAAAGGTCGCTCGTTCGACACACTCATGTACATCGCGATCCAGTGAAGTAAACATTCATGATCACGTGCCGCATTTATAAGCCTACATTAAAAACGAATGTATTAAAGTACTTCTGTGCGAATGTAAACAAGGCAAATTCCAGCTGAGTTTTGATGACAGGGCGTTTTCATATGCTCCCGTGCGGCCACACGCCGCATGTGCATGTAATTTAGAAAACGTGACTTGATGCAGCCTAGCGAACTCGCGAGCTCAAGGAAAACACGAGAACCTCACTGGCACTGGCACTGTCAAGCGGACCTATATTTACATCTTCCCCTAGACAGGTTCAAATGTATAATGCATGTGTGATGAAATATTATAAACAATGACAATAGGTCATTTCATTATATCATCTGGCTTCACAACAGGCCACAGCACTGACCTGAAGGAGAGCAGCTCGTGCAGCAGATACGCAGCCGCAGCCAGCAGGGCACCTCCGGTGATGTAAAGCGTCTTCTTCCACCAGGAATCCGATACCAATCCCGACATGATCCCGCCGAAATCCTGCGCAGGGACGGCTACTATGTACCCATAAAATAAGTGACGGTCATCAGAGCCACACAACCCGAAGGACGGGCTCTGATTCCGGCCAAGATCAACCACGAACGACCGGGAGGAGGCGAAACCAGCGACCCAGTACATTCTCTCTCTCCCCCCGCTTCCTCCAACGAATTCTGCGCCACATCATTTATCCATATAAACACGGACAACTGTTACATGGTTATGTGTTATGTCGGTCTCGTAAAGCAAAAGAAGAGCATTTTAACGGGATTTGGCTCCCGCACGCAGCTCCGCATCCTCCTTTGTTGCTGTGCTGGAGCCGAGTGACGTCACGACGCATGGCAGCGAGTTCATTTACGCTTTTCACTAAACTACAGACGCAGATGTAAACATAATTTGAAGGACATATTAGTTTTCAGTAAGAAATAGAAATAAATGTGTGTATATAATGTGTGTCTGTACATATTAATTTACCCTTAAGTTACATTATGAAATTTGAGTTATTGTAAAGACAAGAATTTGATATATATATATATATATATACACTTCTTGCTATTTTATTTCTTTTTCCAATTATATTTGGAAGTTAGCATGACAACAGACTAGCGCTTGATTGTTGTGACTAAGGATGTACTCAAAAATAGAGAATTGTTCAGCCTGAATAAAACACCCTCTCAGTTGACACAATTGTTTTTATTTTATTAAGTACCTACACGTTTTAAATGCCAAGTCAAAAATCATTATATAATTCTCTTTGTCTGTTTGACCTCTGACATGAACCAACCAACACCACAAAACACGCAAGTAAATGAATCTTTGAATCTTTGAAGTGGCATGTGGCTGCGGCATGTTGAGTGGATCAAAAGTGCTTCTCAAATTAACAAGAGCTTTACAAAATATGTCTTATGTATCATGCCTCCGAAAAAAAAAAGTTTTATTAAGGAATACAATGCAAAGAATGATTATCACTGGTTCAGCAATTCTTCACTATGCAACATATTTTGAGATATGGAGTGTGTTTTTTCTCTGTTCGGAATCAGGTGGAGTTTGTTTGATAGTTTCAATATTATAATAGCTCAACTGTAATTTGTAGCTCGACCTGGTTCATCCAGATTCTCACTCTCAGCCCAGACCTGTCCGGGCTGGGGTTCTTCTTTGCGTTTAATTGCATGCAATGCATAGTTGATGGCTGTGCTCTGCTGCCAGCTCCACGCTCCTGTGAGAGGATTGTACATCATGCCTCTGATAGCCTCCACGTAGAAACCAACTGGGATACCGTGAGACAGGAAAATGGTAAAAGCTAGTAACAAATTCTGCTGTACAATAAACACTGTAGCAGTGGAACAATAGATCATACTGAACAATTATGTAATGTATACCAGGCTTTTCCAACAACAGCGGTTATTAAAACGGCAAAGGAGATCCATGATAGAGGAGGGGTAATACCCAGAAACTGATCAATGAATGATAGTGAGAGAGAAATGGAAGTCAGAGACGACACTCACAAGACTCCAGAAGTCGTTCCAGATCCTCTGGGCTTACGAACTTCTCCCAGTCATGAGTGCCACTCGGAACAATTCTTAACAGCTGCTCTGCTGCCACAATCCCGAAAACATAGGACAAGTTGGTTTTGTTAATAGTGGTGATGAAAAGAGAGCCACCAGGCTGAAAAAAAAAAAAAAATTCCATACATTACATAAAAATATTACACATTTTAATTGCATGTTATACATTAAGACATTAGTATTTTAACACTTTGCCATTTAATAGAATTTTATGTACACTAGTCCTTTAAGGGTTCCCTCCTTGAATTAAATGTTATTATATTTAAAATAAAATAACATCTTAAAAATGTGTATAATAAATATCTGTTAATATTTATATTATATAAAATTACAAATATTTTATACATTAAGATAGTAATATTTTTTCTTATTTTGAGATATATTTTAATATCATTTCATATTTATTTTATGCAATTTTATTCTATATTTAAATTATTCAGTGTTTTTTATAAATTCTAACTAATAAACCATCTAAAAAGAAACTGAAGAGAAAAGAAAGCAAAACAGAAACAGGCTAATGAAAGTGCCTGGATGTCAAAGCATTAGGAGAGATTATGGGGATTTGGAGTAACTCTTCTTGTCCTCTGACACACTGACCTAGGAGATTAAATCAGTGCATTCAGTTCTTTTTGCTGTGAATCCCACTGTTACTTTTGTGCTATTGTCATAGCGATGTTGGGACACACCTTCAACACCTGCTGGCAACAGCTGGCAAAGGCGTCCAGGTCAGCCAGATGTTCCATCACCTCAGATGCCACTACAGCATGAAATCCCTCTAATTCCTCTTCGGCAAGCTCCTCCAGGGTGCAGGCCTGATAGCGAACTCTCTCCCGTAAATCTGGATCATAGGAGGAGTGCAGCTCTGCGGTCTGCACACTGTCCTCCACTGGGTCGATTCCCCGGACGTCTGCTCCTAACCTCCCTAGTGGCTGAGAAAGGTTAGTGCTACTTTGTTTTTTGATACCCATGTTTAGCAGCATCCACAGCTTAAACTAAACCTTAAACTTATTTTTTAGTAACTGAAAGAAAACTGACAAAATAAAATATTAATATTAAATGAAAAACTTAAACCTAAATTGAAATGTTGTTGACTAGGCAAATGTACTGAAATACATTTCATTTAAAGTACTAAAATAACTAAAATAAAAATGTAAGATGAACAGAAATATTTAAATAATAATAATAATAAAAACGACAAAAACAGACAACAAAATTACTTAAACCTAAACTAACATTAAAATGAAAACTAAAAATATAAAAATAAAGCCAATATAAAATGTAAATAATATATGAAACATTATATAAAAAATGTCAATAAATACTATAATAGCATATAAATAATACTAAAATAACACTGACCCACAGGACAGAAACTATCCATTTTTCATTGTTGATTTTGGATTTGCATTAGATTTGTATGGTAAATATATTTTAATGGAAAAGAAAATTAGCATATTAGTAAAAATGTAGCTTTTCAGTTTCTATGTAAAATTTCTTTAGGTGTAAAAACACAGTAGCACAACAACAACAACAAAAAATCTGCACATCACCCTCTGTTGGTCATTCAGGGCAGAAATTCAGTAATAGAGCTGCAGTAAACCAGTAAATTGTCTGTTCCACTGATGTGTGCTAAAGGGGATCTTCTGACATAAGCTTTTGCATGACAGAACACTCAAGAGACATCATGCTCACCAAAACACAACAATGACATATCAGGCAGAGAGACGGCCTGGAGAAAGTGTGTTTATCTCAGTGGAGGAAACCACTGGGCGTGAAGCTGTCTGTTTTAATCGTGTAGTTCAGTTGGTAAGTTTTCAGTTATCATTTGTGGCCAGCTAAAAATAATCATGCATACTATCAAACCTAACAAACATGAGACCAGCTTTTTATTGCTACCACACCCAGACCAGATCTCTCAAATGATGGAATATCTTACAGTAAACTGAAAAACTTTACTTGCACTAACTAGTGCAACTAGCTCAATACTTATCTGTCATTATAGAATCATTTTCATAATTACCAGTAGTTACCTCACTCAGCACGCCTCCACCACAGCCAACATCCAGAATTCTCAGTCCAGCCAGAGGTTTGCCCAACTGCCGGATGCCGTGCACATTCAACAAATTATCCCTGAAAATGGAGTCAAAGGTCACAAAATGAGGTTAAGAAGGTACTAGGCTAGAAAACATATCACCTCTAGTCATGCAGAATTTTGAAACGATGTACATCAGACTGACGTGAAACACCACAATGTGCTTCCTGAGTCACAAGCACGTCTTACTGCTAGTCCCTCTGGCTAGACACATGCCTCTGACATCCTGAAGCAATCATACATCCTCAATGCTCGTCTCGCTGAACTCAAAGGCAACATCCTCACATTCTTCCTCAAAAGCTTGGTCAGACCATGCAGACCAAAGCCGCCTAAGGTGCTCACTGCCAATCCTGTTAACTCAGCCCATCTCTGCCAACAAACCCCAACGTCTAGAAAACACACATTCCTCAAGTACAACATAATAACCAGCAACAGCACAGAGGTCCCTCATTTAAACAAGCCCCCGGGGCATTGCCACATATGCTGTATACTACAACTGATCCCGTGTTCAGGGAAGGGGAAGAAATTGTGCGCTGAATGATTCCAGGAGGCGAGGGGAAAGGTTTACAATGACAATCACACAATATCCATCCTGACTCTCATGGAAACGGCTGCTGAGAGAAGAATCTGCTCAGGTAAGATTATTATCATGAAGACATTTTCAAAGAAATTAATTAATACTTGTATTCAAAGAAGGATGCATTAAATTGATCAAAAGTCTGTTTCAAATAAATGCTGTTCTTTCAAACTTTCTATTCATCAAAGAATCCTGGGGAGAAATATGCATCAAAATTCAGCTCTACAATCATAGGAATAAATTACACTAATACACAAATACTTAAAAATAGAAAACAATTAGTTTAAACTGTAATAATATTTCCCAGTTTTATTTTAATTTCTCAATGTAATTTTGATCAATTAAATGCAGCTTTACTGAGCATAATCTCTCAAAAACATTTTAAAATTATTACCAACCCAAAACATTAAATACTTTTAGAAAGTTGTATGTGTGACATGCTATACTCCATATAGCATTATTCTAGGATGCACCAATATTAAATATCTAGCCAGAATGAACAATTATTATGCTATAGCCAAAATAGCTGATATATATATATATATAATAAATTTGCAATGAAAGACAAAACTTTTGAGATTGTGTGATTACATTTTATTTTTAGATAAAGAGAATGCACAGTTAAATGTGTAATCAACCAATAAATCAAAAGATTTTAATATTTGGCTAAAAACTGATATTATTCATCCCTAATTAAAACAGTATTTTGTTCATTCATACATTTTAAAATTAAGCTATTATGTATACAACATTTATGACATCACATTTACTAGCAGTACTTTTAAAAATTAATGTCACGTGGAAACTAAGACCTTTTAAAACGATCTAGTAAAGGCAAAAAAGGTGAAGAAAAATGGAGATACATCCATAAAAATAAGTTAAAATATTATTGATGTTAAAAAAATACTATAGTGATACCATGGCACTTTTATCAGTAAAATAGAGGGTAGATGTACACACCGTATGAAAGGCACTCTCAGGTCATTCATGGAGTGCAGGGCAGCAAACTCTCCCTGTAAGTCCCACCACTTGCTCGCCATGGCCTGAAACTTCCGCACTTCGGCGGGGTCGAGAGTAGTCTGGGATACCGTGCG